ACAAAGCTCTCAGGTTTATTCGCTCATTCTTCTGTTATTTGTTCTCCATCCATCATGCTTCCTACCAGTCAACCCATTACCTAAGATGTAAACCTTTTTTTTTTATTAAGGGTAAAAAAAAAAATGACGTTAATATTTTATAATTTCATCATTCCCACAGCCCAAAGTCATTGTTAGCATCATTATTAGTAAATCTATACTTTTACTGAAGAGCTCTAAGTAAGTGATCAGTCTTACCTTGCGAGTTGCGGCTGAGGCGCAGTGAGGAGCGAGTGAGGCGGGTGCTTCTCACCGTGTGGATGTCACTCTCGGAGCTGTCTGTGTGCTCAGCGGAGAAGTCTGAATCCTCTGTACCTTCAGAGCTACTGCCCGCATTTCTCTAAGTGTCAAAAACATCCAAACCCACTCTGGTCACTGAATACAAATGAGATCTTAGTAACACTTTACAAAAAGGTCCCATTAGTTAGCATTAACTAACAATAAGCATAACATAATTGTTGTTAATACAAATGAAACTGTTCAATGTTAGTGCATCTTAGCTCAGATTGATTTTTAACAGATTCAACTTTTGATTTTAACAATGTATTCGTAAATGCTGAAATTAACACTAAGATTAATAATTGCTTTAGAAGTATTTTTAGTCTGTGTTTTATTTCACCGTAACTAATGTAATCTAAGGTTAGCCAATGGAATCTTATAGTAAATTGTTACAGTTATCTTTTTTATTGTTATACAGATACTGAAACAAATGAGAAAGAAATACTTTTAAAGGGATGATAAGCTTTTCATGAAAATGTACTCCACATTTTAAGCTTGATACCACTGTTAATTAGGGTAATTTAACTGTAACAAAACTCAAGTAGCGTCACATGACCTGTGAAAATGAACCTGGTGAGCCTTTCCTTATCTGCATTATATATGTAATAATGTTTGCTCATATTTTAATACAAGTTGAGAATTATAACTTTATTGTATTTTCTTTAATACCATGAAACTATACTAATAAAGTGTTACTGAGAAAATCTACTTTTTTTTTTTACACTGTGGTCACTGGTTTGATTGAATCAAAACATTTTAACTAGGTTAATATAAATATGGGCGTACAATGAACCAAAATTGAATAAAAAAAAGTAGGGGTGATCCGATTGATCGGCTACCGATCACTATCGGCCGATAATCACGTTGGGATGATTGATCGGCGGTCTCTAAAAGGCCGATCTCAAAAAAACGATCTCAAGCTGATGACGCTGCCGTCAGAGGTTTGGCACGACATTTGCAGTGGCACGTCTCAGTCTCTGTCTGGCGCGGGTGAAATAATTATAATGCTGAAGGTAAGTTTGTGATAACGTGAGAAAAGTAGTTTAAATGTTTTGCCACTTGCTTGAGCAACTTAATATATAAATCTAGAATTAAATGCAAAAGTAAAAAGCATTGAATGATGTGTTGCTTATATTTATTGTGTTTAAACATGTCTGTGAAAGATTGTATTACTGCACTGTGTAAAAAAAGAATTGCAATGCTGAAAAAGCATTTTCAGTGACAATGTTTAAATTTGAAATCAAACTAATGAATAAATGTTGTGTTTGTGGTAAACAGCCACGGATCAGTAGCGGACTCCTGTGTGAAAGCTGCTTCTTCTCTCACAAGAGACACCTAAGAGGGGAATTCCCCCCATTTTCAAAAATGAAATTCAGGCCCTGAATAAATGTCTAAAAATCCTGATTGAAGTATCACTATAAATAGTTATAAATGATAAAAAGAAGGCTTTAAAAAGACCGGTATCGGTGATCGGTATCGGCAGATACTGCTTTCTGTGATCGGCGATGGGTGATCAGCCTCAAAAATCCTGATCGGAGCACCCCTAAAAAAAAAGTAATGGGTTATGATGCTTTTAACACCCCTGTAGCTAATTTCTGGACCTCTCTCAATCCCCATTATTATTTTGAGTGAGTCTAATGAATCCTAATAGCACTGATCGAAAGAATATATATAGTCTCCTGACAGTAAATCTAGCTTTATCAGCATGTATGAAAACATGACTTGATATAAGGTAATTACAATGACTTGGAGAAAAATACCTTATTTTAGCATTTCCCTTTTCACAAAAACAAATGTCTGAATTGACGGAACAATAAATATGAACTTTTTGTGTATGCGCTCATTACATACGTGAAAACTTGTATTATGTAATTACACAGAGCATTCATTTTATAGTTTTGGCTACCATCTGCACATTCCACACACAAACAATTTAACTAGTCATTTGCTTATGATGACTGCGCGACCCCACGCAAACTGCTGGATCTCATGTATGTACACTATATTGCCAAAAGTATTGAGACACCCCCTTCTAATGAACAGGTTTGACTGCTTTAGTCATTTCCATGAGTACAAATCTCAATGTTTAAGCATATAACGATATTCTAGGGAATTGTGTGCTTCTAATTTTATACCAATAGTTTGAACAGGACCCTTTTTTATTCTAACATGACAATGCCTCTGTGTATAAGGCAACGTTCAAAAAGAAATGATTGATTCAGTCAGTGTGGAAGAACTTGAGTGGTCTGCAGAAACCCAGCTGAACACCTCTGGTGTGACTTTAAACGCTGACCTCGAACCAAAAACTCATCACCAAACACCAATGACTTGTACATACACTATATGGACAAAAGTATTGGGACACCCCACAGAAAAAAGCACTCCCAAAACTGTGGCAACAAAGATGGAAACATAATTCATGTATTTAAAAATTGTATTTCCATCTCTTTTGCAACAGTTTTGGAAGTGTCTAAAATGACTTTACTCATATGTACAAGTCATTGGTGTTTGGTGATGAGTTTTTGGTTCGAGGTCAGCGTTTAAAGTCACACCAGAGGTGTTCAGCTGGGTTTCTGCAGACCACTCAAGTTCTTCCACACTGACTGAATCAATCATTTCTTTTTGAACGTTGCCTTATACACAGAGGCATTGTCATGTTAGAATAAAAAAGGGTCCTGTTCAAACTATTGGTATAAAATTAGAAGCACACAATTCCCTAGAATATCGTTATATGCTTAAACATTGAGATTTGTACTCATGGAAATGACTAAAGCAGTCAAACCTGTTCATTAGAAGGGGGTGTCTCAATACTTTTGGCAATACAGTGTGTGTGTGTGTGTGTGTGTGTGTGAAGCGAGCAGGTGAAGGCTGGCTACACATAAACACGCAGGTGCGCGATGCTGTGCGCGATGTTCGCAGCTGGCCTGTAGGATGCAGTCATACCTTCCGCCGCGGCATTGCGCTTCTCCGCGGCGCTCTCTGCTGCAGACGATTCACGAGGTTTGATTTCTGCTGGATTTCTGAATGCAGTTAGATCGCCGAAACCTGTCGAAGGCTGCTTAAGTGATGCATCCCTGTGGAAGTGAGGGAAACATTCATGTGGTACAAGGAAACACTGCTTCATCACTGACAGTCATGGGTCATGACTGCGCGCGTGGTCTGTTTACACCCTCCACTTCCGGTACAAAATTCTAATGTAAGGGTCTCACGGAAAATGATAAAGACGAGGAAGTACCCATTGTTTTAAACAGACGTGGACGATTTATGTATGATTACCCTATTGTTAGCTGATTACAAATGTGTATCAGGTAAAACACAAAGAAAAGAGATATTATTAACGTTGTGCAGTTCCTGTGGTAATAGTTCTGTCGCTAGATGGCGGCACTAATGTCACTGTCTGATGAAGACATGTTAGCCTATTTTAAAGGGGTCATATGATGCTGCTAAAAAGAACATTATTTTGTGTATTTGGTGTAATGAAATGTGTTTATGCGGTTTAAAGTTAAAAAAACACATTATTTTCCACATACTGTACATTATTGTTTCTCCTCTATGCCCCGCCTTTTTGAAACGCGTCGATTTTTACAAAGCTCATCAGTCTGAAAAAGCGAGGTGTGCTCTGATTGGCCAGCTATCCAGTGCGTTGTGATTGGCCGAATACCTCAAGCATGAGACGGAAATGTTACGCCCCTCACATACTGCTGATGCCGTGTCCAGCCGGAGCGACGAGGCATAAACATTAAAACCCATTACAAACAAGGCATTTGTTGCATCCAGTGGGGACATAATTACGGATTATAATAACTTATACTGTCTTTTTACGCGTTGCGTTGCATCGCGCAGCGTAAACATAAAACCATGTCTGCACTTGTGATCAGAGAAATGACAAACAAAAAGTGCTAACTGCTCTTTACAGGACATCCAGACTTAAAACTGTGACATGTAAGGTCTCAGAGAAATTCACTAAAATATAATGTCCATTACAGAGGCAAAAACTCCATAGCTGGGTCTCAGGAGGATATAAAATTTTTCAAGCTCAATAATAATAATAATAATAATAATAATAATAATAATAATAATAAACAGTTTGATTAATAATATCTTTCAGCATAGTTTTTTTTTTTGAAAATCAGTGTCTCTGTAGGCACATTGAACAACATTTGTCTATTATAGAGGGGCGTGTTGTCACATTATATGGGGTAAGTTGTCACAACTAAACCTGCCATTGAACAGTTTATTATAAGCTTGATAAAACACAAACATAAAAAAAAGATAAAACAAACAATTTATCACAGCATAAATATAAAAGGTAACAAAAAAATCAAACAATAATGTTAGCCAGCAGATACTATAAAATATACCATATAATATGTATGTACATTTTGACTGAAAACCATATAATTATAGCTCTTTGATCTCTTTTCATCATGACACACTTATATTATTTATTACATTATATAATATTTTACATTAATTATTATATATAGCATTGGATATTCCTGATGATATCTCGGCTTAATTCACTTTGCATACATTAAAATCAAAACATATCAAATAATCTTTGGTTTTCAAGAATAATACTTGCATTTAAATATTTTAAAACAGGCAAAGTGAGGAAAATGGTTAATACAGACTTAATTGCATGCAGACTTAAATATAATCTCAGAATGTGTTTTTCGAGTTTAATATGCTTTCATTCTGTGGTATACATTTGCTAATGTGCTTATGCAGTAAGGTACAAAACATATTGTGGTTAGAGGCACAGTGGCGCTCTTACAGAAAGAAAGTGCATAGAAGAGCGCATGAGTGCTTGTGGGAGGTCTGAATGAGTCTAAGAGGCTCAGGAGTGGCAGTGTTGCTGCTGTACAGGTCAGTCTGTAAATGGCGCTGTTTCCACAGTTCCTGTTTTTTTGCAGATCACCATGAATAGGCAAATGGAGGCTCAGCCCCAGGCCGAACAGGGCCCCGGTGTTGCGGAGGAGGCCAGCGAAGGGTGTGGTGTCCAGATGGACCCATTCAGGCTGAATGCACCACTTCTGTGCCTTCATTAGGCTCCAGTAGGGGTCTACTGAAGCAGCATCCAACAATGCATAAAGCCCCAGCGCAATAAACACAAGACAGAGGATGGTGTGCACATAACTCTTCAAGCTTGCTGAATAGATCCAGGACACTCTATTAAAAGCCTTGGCCACAGCGATTCCTGTATTGTGAATGTGAACAATTACTTAAGAAACTGTATGTTGAAAGATCTTATTCATCTTGTAGGTAATTTTGAATGGCAGACTAATATGAAAAATATACAATGCAACTGACCCGAAACAACTCCCGCAATGACCTGATGTGGGAAATGAGCTGCAATGAAGACTCGAGAAAGACTGACACAAACCTGCACACCCCAGAAAAGGGCCCAAAGAAGACCCTGCAAGCACCTAGTATATGGCACAAATGCAAAGAAAGGAAAATGTTTATCATTAATATTAAATAGCAAAACATAGACATGAAGAATCTGGTTATTTTTCAAAATGACATTCAATATCTATATGAGTAACTGGCCCATCATCTACGCAAAATAATCTGCATCTTTACAATATACAACTTGATATGGTGATAAAACTGAGCTGCTAAGAAAAATGAGTTTACTAGTAGTTAATGAGGTATTTCCGCCCGACTGGAGGCTGGAAAGATTGTGATATGTTGTGCAAGGGTTTTCTTTCCTTCCTTTTTATCTCTCAATTGTTCTGGATGATTTCTTGTGACTGAGGAGCATTTCTATGCATTCGGTCTGGTATTATCTTGTAAATGAAGTCTTACTGAAGACTATATAAAAATATAAACAGGGCATAATCACTCACCATCTTTTTAGGGGGTCACATTCCTGCAAAATCGTCAGCAGTGACGTGACCATGGCATAGTAAACCCCTGCAGATCCCATCGCATGACCGGAGGGACTTCCTAGAAGAGCAGTCAGAAACCGCTATGAAGTCTGCTTTTGATTTAGTGTGTTGGTTGGTCTATATAAATACAATGAGAAACATAAGGAGACACTCACCAGGGCCGGTCTCGCATGTCATGGGGAACTGTTTGATTTGTGGTACAGTCAAGTTGCCATAATAAAGAGTTTCTTTAACCCACCAATAAGGACGCTCGCCAAACATAAGCCTGTTTAGTGATTTAATAAATAAATCTGATTAGGACCAGTGAAGATAAATTCATAGATATTCGATATTGAGATTTGTGATTATTCTATTATTTGTGACCCTGGACCACAAAACCAGTCATATGGGTAAATTTTTCGAAATTGAGATTTATACATAATCTGAAAGCTGAATAAATAAGCTTTCCATTGATGTATTGTTTGTTAGGATAATATTTGGCCGAGATACAACTATTTGAAAATCTGGAATTTGAGGTTGCAAAAAAATCTAAATATTGAGAAAATCGCCTTTAAAGTTGTCCAAATGAAGTTCTTAGCAATGCAAAAGATAAGTTTTTATATATTTACGGTAGGAAATTTACAAAATATCTTCATGGAACATGATCTTTACTTAATATCCTAATGATTTTTGGCATAAAAGAAAAAAAAAATCAATAATTTTGACCCATACAATGTATTTTTGGCTATTGCTACAAATACACCCCAGCGACTTAAGACTGCTTTTGTGCTCCAGGGTCACATTTATCCATTCAATCTGGCTCCAAATGCTTCTTTTAAGATAATAAAAAAAGGGTATTCATGGATATTTACAGAAGCAACAACAATACTTACCACTTGAGGACTAAGTTGAGCCAATCTCCCACAACAGCAACCCAGACCAGCTTTACTCCCACTGCTGATTGTAGATGAAACCAAATGGGAAAAAAGTATAAAAATGTTGTACGCAGGTCTGCCATTGTAGACACGAATGTAAACCAGCTTTGGGCATGTCCATAATGCGTCTGCAGGTATAACGTACTGCTGATCCCATAACCATACAAGACTTCCATTACTGCTCTCGGTCTGTTATAAAACAGCAATATTATGGATCCTCATTCATGTTTTCAGTTTTTGGGTAACATTATGAGTCTTAGCAGGCACAAGTAGCTATTTGTAAAATCTTGTAATCTTGTTTTCAGTGTCTTGAATCTGGATTGTCATCCCTGCGACGACCTGCATGAGTTCAGCCTGCTCCTTTTATCCATCCACTCAGTTGCCTGGTCACTGGGCACCACCTGAGCTTTGGACTCTCTGGAGTAAATAGAGGGGAAATTGTCTCCAAACATTAAAGTGTGGTCATTAAAGCGGGCATGTGTGGTGCATGTGTGTGAAGTGGCAGGTTTTGGGTGCTAAATTTAGCTCTCGATTACGAGAAGGACACTCACTAGCTGAATGAGGTGATGACATGCATTTGCATGGACACATTGGACTCTTGACTGTTCTCTAAAGTTGTTTTGTTAATACGAAAATGTGTTTATTTATGTGTTTATTATGTGTTATTGATGTGTTTTATTTTTATATACATCATAAGTCTCTTTTACTGCATTTATTGTTTGATCAAAACAAGTTGTTTAAAATCACAGCATTTATTTGAAATAGAAATCTTTTGAAACATCATACTGCAAATATCTTTACTGTCACTCTTGATCAATTTAATGCAACCTTGCTGAATAAAAGTATTCAATTTTTTCCTCTAAAAAACATACTGACCCCAAACTTTTGAGCAGAAGTGTATATATGTAATATGTAATGTGTATTGAAATTTGGGGGGAAATTATGTGCTTTGACAAGAAACTGACACAAATATTAAAGTAAAGTTAATTACATAAAATGTCATTCTCATCGTTCGTGTACCGTAGCTCAGCCCTGGTTCAGTTGTGTGGCCATCAAATGAAGAATTAGCAGGATATTATTAGAGATTGACCGAGACCTTCACATAACACTGTTTACCTTGACTTGACATAATGGTTAATTTCCAGCAAACTCTAGAGGCCTGTTCGTGCGAAGCCTCACGACTTTGTGAGATGGCACATTTTCCATTGGCTTCCAGAACTTCTGAGAGCTGTCACTATAGAACGACTCAACCATGTGGAAAAACAAAGATGGAACATGTCCAGAGCAGACTGTAAACAAGAACACTGCCTGCAGGGTGTTAAGAGCTCCACAGTGTTTACAGATGCCATCTCCACATAGACCCATCAGCCTAGTCATGTGAAGCATATACAGTATGTAGGGATGGGCAGTATTTCAGATACATGTATTTAAAATACCTATTTGAAATACAAAATACTATTTTGTATTTTGTATTTGAAAGCCTTCGGCAAAAATCAAATGTAATTTGTATTTAAATACATTTAAGATTAGTATTTGTGGTTTGGTATTTTATTTTAAAATACATTTTGATGTATCTTTGCCCAACCCTGACAGTATGTACATGCTATTACCATGATCAGAAGGCTCATTTGTGTTGTCTTCATGCATTTAAGCATGCTTTGCATTTTGAGTTCTGCTGTTAAACATGCGATCTTGCATTTAGGTCTACTGTAGTTCAATATTCTGTTGAACCAAATGTAGCTCACAAACACAGGAAGACATACAGGAAGTGCTCAGTTCTTTAAGGGCAGTCCAATCTCACGCCCTCTGGTCACGTCCTATCTCAGAAGTCTTTCCCCCTGAAACCAAAACAACAATGGCCAGTTCCTGTGGGCATACAGCTTTGAAAATAAACACTGCATGCTTTCGACCACATATTCTACTGAATTGTGCGCATTATGCTGGTCTAATAAAGGAGATATTCTAGTGAGAAAGCAGATAGTCATAAACATAAAAAAAGTAGATTGTATATATAACATCTGTCTCAGGGCATGTTGGATATGTTAATATAGCAGTAATTTTGTTAACATTACTCAGATGTAGTTTTTGCTTTAACTTTGTGTGGTTATTCTTTAGACCAGGGGTGCCCAAACTCGGTCCTGGAGGACCGGTGTCCTACAGAGTTTAGCTCCAACTTGCCTCAACACACCTGCCTTTAAGTTTCTAGTATGCCTAGTAAGAGCTTGATTAGCTGGTTCAGGTGTGTTTAATTGGGGTTGGAGCTAAACTCTTCAGGACTCCGGCCCTCCAGGACCGAGTTTGGACACCCCTGCTTTAGACGTTAATATAGATATGTTGTATTTGATTGTGTCAATACATTTGAACTCTATGTTTGTTTACTTGTGTGTTTGCTTTTGCATATCATCACTAATCATGAATCAAAAATAATACCATATAATAAATGTACGTCCATTTTGACTGAAAACCATAAAATTATAGCTCTTTGATCTCTTTTCCTCATGACACACTTATATTATTTATTACATTATATAATATTTTACATTAATTATTATATATAGCCTTGGATATTCCTGATGATATGCGATATGTTTTTTAATCTGGGACCTAAGTTTTTTCACATCATTTTGGGGTTGTCTTTACACATGCAGTCTTTGCCTGTGGTTCACCGCTGAATTGCACTGTCTAAATATGCAGCCCAATTTGGAAATTTGGATCTGTATTCTTGGGAGTGCTGGGAATGTTAAAGGAGCAGTAGTAGAGCTTGTGCAACTCTTGGAACCTATGGAATTTTAAGCACAAGCCAGAATACATTACTCTTTCTGGGATTTCTTGGAATTCTTGCAATACATGATACACAACCACTTATCATCCCTCCTGTGAATCTACAGCCTGGGAAACATGGCAAAGCTTAATAAGTTGATGCTGTGCTCTGTGAAACACATTTTAACACAGTACTGCAATAATATTCATAAGCTGCAAGTAAAGTTTGCATAGGGTGCTGGATAAAATCTTCAAATAAAACTTATAGAAATGTATTACAGTCCCAAAGTATTCATTTGCAACTTCCTTTGCACTCCTACATTGTTTTTCTAAGCACTAAAAATAAACATAATTTTTTTCTGCGACAGTGTTTATAGTTTCAAAACAGACTGATAGAGCTACAGAGTTCATTGGCTGAGAATTATGTGAAGATGTACCAGTCCACTAAAGGCCATTTCACAATGCACCGAAAGACAAACAGCAATGGACACATTTGTTGGGTTTTGTCGGATCGGTGTGTTACACATGTTGGTGTCTGATGGCATTGGTTGGTGCTTAAATGTTAATCCAAACAGCATATTTCCTTTTTTTATTATTAAATTAAATTTTGAATGCCAGTATTTTAAATAAAAATCACAAAGAACAAAATACTTTTTGAAACACTGTATGTGTGAAGACCATAGCAGAACCATGATGTGCTGATATTTGTTTTACTCAGGTCTCTGTATATCGATAGATCTGCCTGTTCTTTGTCAGCAACACCTTGTTCATAACTCTGACAGTCCACTTTAAGTTCACTCCAGCAAGTAACAAACACAGCAGATACTCTAATTATATAGCCTTGCTTTGTTTGTTCAGAACACCAGTTTGTCTGTTTGTGACTATAAACTGTGTTATTGTTTGTAACTGTTTGAAATGACATGTGAGACACATTGTTTAAATCTGAGAGATCACAGCACATATAGGGCTTGCACACTGATAAATTATTTTACCTTATAGGGGAGATTGGGCTAGTTGTCACACAGGGTGGTTATTACAAGGGCTGTAGGCCTATATTACTAACTATACACAAATTGTGTTGGTCATTTCAGGGCAAGTTGTCACAGTTTATTAGGGCAAGTTTTTCTTGTGGTTTTAAATGTATGCAGTTGATTAAATAACAGTATTTCTCAGCCACAATAATGGTTTGAGATTTATGCATGTTGCTTTCTATTTTTTGCTGTTGCTGTTATAATGGTAATGGTTGAAATGTGCAATACATTTTTGTGGTCAGTACTATTTAAAAAAAGAAAAGAAAAAAAGAGAGTAGAAAGTGAGTCTAAAGCCATTGGTCTCTCCCCTACAGTATCTCACATATATGGGAGGGAGGTAAAGTATGTATAAACTAAGATAACATGGACATAACTGGCATGGCTGCTGCTCTCCAAATGTACCATCTGGAATTCATTGACTGCTGACATCTTGACAGAATAGCTGTATATGTATGTATGTGTATTTGTGAGGGAAGGGTGTCTGTTTGAGACACAGAAAGAGAGAAAACGAGTTGGAATTTGTTTAATATGTATACATGCATCAATCTTTATATACTTTGAAATGAGAGGCAGCTGGGAGACAAACAATCATCAATCCTTGAAGAAGTTTAGTGTACAATGTCAGTTCTCATAATTTATAGCCCTCCTTCAGGTCATGCTCTTAATAGGTTTGGATTCCTTATCTGTTCAGCTGTAAAACCAGGCCTGTGTTTTGCAATGCGTCTACTGTTGTCTAATTAAGGAATCTTCTTAGGCTTTGATTCAACAGAGCTGAACTGTCTCCTACAAGGATAGAGGACATGTGTAACAGGCCAAATAATTGTGTAACAGGCCAAAGGAGAGAGATATGCACTATTAATTGATTGCAGATGAACTTGTAGAGCATGACGATAGCAATGGTCGTGTGTTAAATTCTCAGTGTACTGAAAAATGTGTCTTGTCATGATGATTTGAAAGTTGCTCTTAAGCAGCAAGAGATATGCATTTTCAATATATAACAACACATTTCAGTCTGTTCTTTAAAGCTATCATATTCAGAAGACTTGGAATGTGGTGCATGAGTCATATGGACTCATTTAATGAAGTTTCAATGTAATTTTTTTTTTTTGTTCTTATTGGAACTGTTGAATGAAAAACATCTGCTTGAAGGTTATTTAAATTTCTTTGTGTTCCACAGAACAAATAACAGCATACAGATTAAGAACATTTGCATAAACATTGGTTTATGCAGGTTGCTCTGGATGCGAATGACTGATTGTTTTTTTAAACAATTTGTTTAAAACATATGTAACATGTAACTGTCATTTCTATGCTTGAAGCATGGACATGAAATGCTTATATCCAATTTATTTTTCCTTTATACCTTTCTTGGACATATTGCAGCATGTCCAGGCTGGTGATTCATATTG